AACATTGTTAATGGCAATTTTCAATTTCAGCAAATACACGAAATATGTTTTTCTCTCAAACTCAATATTCAGTAAGTATTCACAATGATATGATCACAAAAAATAATTGAGGCCATATTATTCGCAATCTTATTTTGACATTCTTCCGAAAAATCACTTAAACAGGATCTTCCAACTTTACGAAAGTTTGTACCACACTTCAGTACACATATCTTTACATGAAACATATTCATCTAATACTTGACTTTTGTAATTTCACTGAACCAATAGATATTGCAGAAGTACCCCCCTTAGTACATCTAACATTGATATGAAATATGATTTTTTTGTATGCAACCAAAATCAATAACAATAAATATACACAATAATCTAGCAATGATACCAAATAATTTCAGAATCTATATACCTTATATTGTCGGCAATTGAAGGACACAAAGGACGAATTGGAGCATATGTTAAACGAATACCTTTTACAGATAATGCAGCAGAGAAGTTAATCTTGCGGGTGAAAAGGGTAAAACAATTAAGGAACCTTAACCGTTTCCGAGTGACGCCTGTAGACGCTGAGGAATTCTTGAAGGGAGGAGAAGAAAAGGGGCGGCGAATTATCCCTTAATCTAAGAGGCACTAAATAAAAGGAGGGGTTGGACGGTCGATTTGCGACGAATGCTTGGTGTGCGTGCCACACATACACAGATAGACCTACATACTGTACATACATACATACATACATACATACATACATACATACATACATACATATATACACACGCATACACATATATATCTATATATATACATACGCACATACATGTGTGCGTTTATCTATGTATGTATTAATGTGCACACATATGCATAGACACACACACATATATATGTGAGTGTGTGTGTTTGTGTTATCATAACATGTGTATGTGTATTTGTATATTTGTATGTATACACACATACACGCACACGCTCGCACGCACGCATGCGTGTGCTGCGTAGTGCCATGGTAGCGTTGTTGTCTAGCAATCTTGCTGACCTGCGTTTGATTCCCGTGCATTACCAATGGATGGTAACTCCGGCCAATCCTCGCGCACAGGGGGCAGTTTAGAAGCACAATAAACAGACAAGCCACAGTTTGACTAATGTCACAGGAGCCTGCCACAGCAACCCCTAAATTATTATAATTAGTATTATTACACACACACACACATATAGAGATAGATAGAGAGAGGGGGGGTAGATAGAAACAGAGAGGGAGATGGATGGATAAGGAGAGCGATAGATAGATAGAAAGATAAAGAGATAGACAGAGAGCCTGGGAGACAAAGGGCGCCCGTTCTAAGATCTATTTTAAGCGAGAAACCAAACAGTTTCAAAACTTTCACGCATTAATGGCTCACTCTTGGAACCCCTTCCGACCTTCAGTCGTCGTTTCTCCTGATTACTCGCTCTCGTAGGCCTTTCCAAGCCAATTCAGAGATGTGTCTGGCGCCGGCTGGCCCGAAGGTCGCATCTCAGACTCGCTATAAAGGTATGGGAAGCCGGCTCTCCTGCATCACAACATCCTCGTTCCCATCGCGTCAACATGTTCATCAAGGTGGTTTATTCTCGTGAACTATTCCTTAAAAGCGTATTTTTTTCCGAACAGATACGAAACCCAATAACATTTTCATACAGATGGCTATTAGAAAATGTGAAAAGGCAAATTTATATGTCGACACTGCAACTTTACAATATTTTTCTTCCAACAGGGCGTTTTCGTGCTTGTTTTGGCAGCAGTGGCCCTCGCTGCCCCTTCGGATCCATACCACCAGCCTTCTTACAAGGAGGTAAGTAACTTTGCTGAATCGGAACTGTCGTACTAGTGAACGTGCAGTACAAAGTGAAGACACAATTTTGCATTCGAATACAAGACTTTGTACAAAGCATTCATTTCTGTTTCTTTTCAAAAGGAGCCGAAGCCGTACCAATTCGCCTACGGAGTCAAGGATGAATACGCCGGCACCGACTTCGGTCAGAGCGAGGAGTCCGACGGCCATGCTGTCAAGGGATCCTACACTGTCCAGCTCCCCGACGGCCGCAAGCAGACGGTAAGAATTTTTTTTCCAGTACAATAGTTGTTGGGTGTTCAGTGCATTTGCCTCGTCGTTGCAACTACTCATTCTTTCTTTCAACAGGTGAACTACGTGGCTGACCACTACAACGGCTACCAGGCTGAGGTCAACTACTACGGCGAGGCTCAGTACCCCCACCAGTACGGTCCCCCCGTCACCTTCAAGCCCCAGGGCTACCATCCCCAGCCTTCCTACCATTAGCACGTTTATCTAAGGACCTTCCGGAAAGATATCACCTATTAAAAGTATATATTTGTCTAAAAATATCACGTGTTACTATAAATCCTGAATATAAATGATAAAACAGTAAATCGCAACACACAGTTGTTGGAATGCGTACGACCCTTAACTATGAATGTGTGTGCACTGTCCGTGTGTGCATGAACGCCTGCTCAGTACGTGCTTTCGTCTCTTAAGCTTACACCCGAGGTTAGTAAAATGCATCTCATAAACTTTCCACTTTGCTAGGCTAAAAAAATCAAAGCCATCTGGAAGGGTACGGCCGGCAAACATGCTAAAGCTAGAAACTCTGACAGAATTCAATGTGTGTCGATGAAATTAACTTTTACAGGCAAATCGCCGCCAATATGCTTCGCCTAACTCGATTAAATTAACTTGTGAAGGCAAATCACCGTCAATAAGCAAGTTAAGTTGATAAGATTGGATTGCCTGAGGTGTTTTCGTCCCCACTCGAGTCCCCGGACTTTGGGCGGCCGGAGTTTAGCGACGCCCCGGACTCGCCCGCGCCGGATTTAAATGAAAACCGGAAACAAAGAAATCGCGGATATAACGCAAACTAGCGCCGTAAAGCAGCACCAACGAGGCCGTGACGAGAGCCGGAATCCTAAACTTCTAGGTTTGTAAACGCTATAAACATCCTGCAGGCGGAGGAGGAGGGAGAGGAGGAGGAGTATGCTGCCCCGTTAAACTTCCACGAGTTTGAGAGAGAAAACACAGAAGCAAGAGGAACGGCTTCTATTGGACAAACATCTGCGAGATTCAGGGAAACGTCTCATGAAGTCAAAGCGTTCGTTCAGCCGTAAATAAAATGTTTGGGCGAGCACAGATTCCCCCACTCGCACAAGAAGACTGGAGCAAACACCAAAACACACACAAACACAGGAAGAAAACAAAGTAAGAGACCACTCAAAACCGTCAGCACATCTTTAATGATATAACCATATAATGAAAGGAAAATCGATTTTTTGTATATAGATAACGAACTAAAAATTCGTACCCAACATCATAGCAGTGTTGATTTATCAAATGTTCTAAAGTTCGTGCAATACAAACACACGGAGATTTTTACAAAATGCAGACGAAGTAAATTAATTATGCTTGGGTTATTTTCGGCGCTTTAATCGTTACCATTTCAGTAGCTCATTTACAGCGTGCTTTATATGCATAATGTTAACAATTAGAATTACCTAATTATCTACTCTCTCTCTCTCTCTCTCTCTCTCTCTCTCTCTCTCTCTCTCTCTCTCTCTCTCTCTCTCTCTCTCTCTCTCTCTCTCTCTCTCTCTCTCTCTCTCTCTCTAGCAATGGTTATATATATTTTTTATTTCATAGCAATGCTATCCTTCGAAATCAATAATAAACTGATTCACCGTAAAAATACACGGGAACTTAATAACAATAAAAATAAAAAACGCCACAGCATTTGGGTGAAAAATCAGGGAATGGGAGAGAGAGAGAGAGAGAAAAGGGTACGTGAACGAAAATCAATAGGTCTTTTCAAAGCATCCCGACTTTTCCTGATGGTGTTCCTGTATTTACAGTGAAATACTATTGACATGCATCGACATCAAACACGCACATAGGCGCCATGCAGCCCACATAAACAGCGCAGAATCTTTACAACAGCAGCCAATGGCGCTCCCCCCCCCCCCTCCCTCGCCCATCCACAACCCCCCCCCCCCATCCCTGACCCCCGACTTCCCGGAATACTGGTCCTCATTTACAAAAGTACGCTGGCGTTATGGCTCTTTTTATTACCAATTGTGCCAATGACTCGCTAATGAAACGGGAACCTAATTACTAGTTTGATTTTACCTGTTCCTCGCTGCCACTGCGACGCGGTTTTATAAATACACACTCGGTCATATGAAGCCCTCGGTGCCTGCGGGCAATGTTAGTAAAATCGGCGGGGCGGTGGCACTGCGGCTTCATTCAGGTTCCACAGAGAGGGCGGGAATAAAGGTTATCGAAACGATTAATTTCGTGAATTTATATGCATTCATTTCGAAGAGTTTCGAAGATTTATATTTAAAAACTGCAGATAACGGAAAATGGAAAAGTCTTCCGCTATCCATTCGTGATGCTCAGTTATCATTTATCTTTATCACAACTACTCTTATTCCCTCGTCATCAAGCAGTACCCACCACATTCCGCTAAAGTTCTTTCACGGTGTTCTGTTCAGTCACGCATGCTATTCCCAAGCATCAGGGGCGGTATTCATCAAAATACTGAGTATTCTTAAGTACACTTTGCAGACGAAATTTCATACACTTCATGCATATAAACATCCATTTTGCTGACTCGCTGTTCGTTCAAATTACGTCTTTCCCACTTGTTCCGATTACACACTCGCTGCCCGTTTGAATTACACGCTACATTCAGAGTCCATATTTAATGTCCATTCTGTTTATATACTTGTTGCTCGATGGAATTACAAACACGACATGCGCTTGGAACGTTTCGCGATACGCACGATGCTCATTCACAGCGTTCGTTCAGAGCAGACTATATGCACTCGACCCGTCCACAAAACTGACAATACCCATCCCTTTCTCATCTCTTCTCTGCTCTTCCTTTTCTCTCTATCTTGCCTACCATCTCATCTCCCTATTCCCGAAACCGCCCCTACCCATCTAGCCTCCCTCCCTCCTTCTTCCCTCTCTTTCCCTCTCATCAATTCCTTTTCAATCCACATCATTAACTCACATCAATCGCCAAATCAATAATTCACCTCACTCGTTCCGATCACTGGTTCAGAACCAATCATCCGACCGCCGGTGAGTTCGGCGGGCTGCCACGACCAGATAAAAGGGGGAAGGGGGAAGAGGAAGAGGGAGAAGAGGAGGGGAAGGGGAGGGGAGGGGAAGGGGAAGGGGGGGGGAAAGGGAAAGGAGAGGAGAGGATAGAGGAAGGGGAAGAAAAAGAGAGAGGGGAGAGAGAAAAGGAAGGGAAGGGGAAGGGAAAGAGAGAGGGGAGAGGGAAAGGGAAGGGGAAGGCGAAGGGGAAGGAATGGAGAGGGAGGAGGGGGGGTTACATAACCCCTTGCTACACCTAGATCAGGGGGGACTAAGGGAAGCGGATGGGAACGTGAGAGTGGAAAGTTAGGGAAGGGGAAAGGAATAAGAAGGGAAGAGAAAGGGCAAATGGGAAAGGGGGATAGAAATAGAGATGGGAAATAGCAGAAAAAGCGAGAGAAGAGGGCAAGGGAGAAAGGGATGGAAAAAGGAGTGACACACGGAGATGGAAAGACTAACATTGCGGATGTTTGTACACATGCAAGACCTTGAGTATGGGAAAGCGAACGAGTGAGAGAGAGAGGGGGGGGGGAAGAAAGAAGAAATAGAAAGAGGAAAAGGGAGGGAGAAGGAGGAAAGGAGGGAAGGAGAAGAGAGTAAGAAGGGACACAGAAAAATCAATATAAGCGGAAGTAAACGAAAAAAAAACAAATATGAAATAAAAATTATATACTTCACGAACTAAAAAAGAAGTTTAAAGATTAAAAAAAGGGAAAAAAAATCAGGTAAACACACGGTCAAAAGCCAAACTTGTTTTTTTTTCCCAAAAGAAACGAAACTCGCGGACTGAACCAAACGAGATCAGGTCGCACAGCCGCAGGAGAAGCAACTGCAAAAACTCTGGACAAAAGGTGTTCGTTGTGCAAAGTTCAATTCATTTTGAATCGTTCATGAGTTTCAAATGAAAAAAAGCCGGTTGTTTGTAATTCAACAATCCCCGACGAGGGAAAATAAAACGTACGTAGTAGAGAAACATTGTGAACTTGTAAATGAACTAAGTAAAGAATTTTGCACGATATACTTACGTACCGCTGGCTTCCACCTACGTGATATACAGTTACGTACCTGTTGGAAGAAAAAATAAGATAAATTACACATTGTACATTTTGTAATGAAAAGGAAAGTCAGAGCTTCTACTTTAGAAGTTGGAGAATTTCCTTTAAAATGTAATTGTAGTATTCATAGGTGTGACTGCAATTGCAATATCCATAATAGTAACAATAGTAATGATAACAACAGCAGTAGTGATAATAAAACAATGAAATCTATTCTAATTCGGCATTTTGAAGAATAATCTAGTCCAAAATCGAGACGGCTGTCTGAAATTTCCGCATGGCTGCCCAATATAAGTTCTTGAGCGAATGTAAACAAAATTAAAAATCGCACAGACTGTTATACATTATCATAATGCAGACCGAGAGAAGAAATATCTGCAAACGCTCTTACAATCGACGCTTTTCGCTCCGATTTCCGCTAAATCTGGTATCAAAGCCATCGGAGAAAACAACTTTCACTCAAACTTCTTGCAGTTGATCAGCGATTGCATTCCAGTGCTTGTTCGCCCCGAGGTTCGTCGTCTATGTACGTAAAACATATTTTGAGAACATTAATAAGACGGATGAAAATTGCACGACGATAATGATAACAAAACACGATCACAAGAACATGTGTGCATTACGTCTGCCAATTTCCAGAATATAAAACGGAGATCTCGACTGCCCTCTCAGCGTCCCTCGCTTCCTTCCAATTATCTTCATCGCTTCTTGTAGTTCTTAGTTTTGTCTTATCATTTCTTCCCTTCCCTGCAGTTTCCCCCTTCAATCTTTTTTTTCTCTTCCTGGTTTCCCTCCAGCACTCTTTCCCTCCTCCCGTAGCAATGTAAACCGGCCCCTCGCCCATTTCCAAATTAGTTCCTTGCCTCTTGCCTCTCTTGCCTCTCTCTCTCTCTCTCTCTCTCTCTCTCTCTCTCTCTCTCTCTCTCTCTCTCTCTCTCTCTATATAATATATATATATATATATATATATATATATATATATATATATATATATATATATATATATACATATTTCATTCTCTCTCTATTTTTTTTTCTCTTTCTCTATTCTATTCTTCTCTTTCTCTTTCTTTCTCTCCTCTTCTCTCTCTCTCTCTCTCTCCTCTCTTCTCTCTCTCTCTCTCTCTCCTCTCTCTCCTCTCTCTCTCTCTCTCTCTCTCTCTCTCTATATATATATATATATATATATATATATATATATATATATATATATATATATACATAATATATAATATATATACATATATATATATATAATAATATATATAATATATATTATATATATATATATTATATATTATATATATACATAATATATATATATATATCCTATAATATATATATATTATATATCTATTTCCTCTCTATATATATTCTTTTCTCTTTCTCTATTCCATTCTTTCTCTTTCTCTTTCTTTCTCTCCTCTTCTCTCTCTTCCTCTCTCCTCTCTCTCTCTCTCTCTCATCTCTCTCTCTCTCTCTTCTCTATCTATATTCTATAGTATATATGATATATATATATATATATATATTATATATATATATTATAATATATATATATATATGATACATACACACACACGCACATATATATATATATATCATATCATTTACAGTTTCTTTACTCTTAACTTTGACCTTTCCTTGGCTTTCTTACCGAACAGACTTCTTCGCCCCAGAGTTCAACCGGCTTATGTAAGATGACATCAAAGAAAACGTGGTTAATGGCATATTCTCATATCAAAGATCTAGACAGTTTCTGTGAGAAAAACGGAAAACGGGGAAAGAATTTCGTAAAATAAATGAATACAAAAATAAATAAAATAAATCGCTGGAAAAAAGAAATGCAAATAAGCTGAGGCAGCAAATACCTTCGCAGAAACACACGATCTCGACATGAAGGGCCACTTCGCCCCCTGCGCTGCCACGCGAGCAGAACGCGGCCTCGGCAAATATTATTACCGCTGTTCTGAACAAGTAAATACCATCGACACAGAGAACTCGAAACCACTCCAGCTCTGAAACGGAGATCAATACTGCCGATGCCTTGCAGTGCCGTTGCAAGCCAGACGCCCGCGTGTCGCTGGTCAACAAGACGAACGAGATCACGAACGGCCGAACGTAAAGAAAACCGAACAGGTAGAGGCCCGACAAGCGAAAAATGTTGCTAGGCGAGGAGAAAGCAGATCCCGGAGGAGACAAGCAAGTTCACACCAGTAGGCGGACGACGACTTGGGAAATGTAAAAAACAAATCTAAGATGCAAAATCTGATGTAAAAGACAACCAAAAGTTATCAATAACCCGCGAAAAAATAATACGTCAGCCCTCGTAACTTAAGTGGTGCTTCCTCTGCCTTCCGACCATCACCACTCTTTCCGCGAGCCATCTACAAGTTCCAAGATCAGACGCAGGCAAATTATGACATCAGCAAAACGTCTTCAAAGGTCAAGTGCCAAAGAAAGCAGGCAGGGTATAAAGGTCGGTGTCAGATCAAAAGCTGGCCATTCCTCCTTGTTCTTCGTTATTGGCACTTACTCATCACGCAACATTTCAGCGACATGAAGGCAAAGGTTTGAATCATTTTTGTGAGATCTTGACGAGTGGAGAAAAGGCTATACTTGAAAATAAGGCGATAAGAGGAATGCCAGAAAAAAATGCAGTTTCTTCTCCTGCCAATCGCTAATGTCCAAACATTTTCCTGATGAGCTTTCTTCCGCAAAGATGATGGTGGTGATGCTGACGACCTCGCTCTTGCTCACGGGTACGACCTTGGCCCTGCCGGCTGACCCTCCCCATGTCTACGATGCGCCAGTTTCGCACAGTTTTCACCCTGACCCTGCCGAGGTAAGGACATTCCTCATTTCCCAGTGATTGTAGTAGGCGTGTGATTGTAGCAGGCGGGTTTGACAGTCTTAAGCAGGTTTGGTCACAAATGTCAAATGATTCACCGTAGATCTAGTACCCATAACACTTTGCCTTGACCCTCACTTCTGAAAAGCCCCAACGCCTTGCCAACCGTGCCACCAGGTGCATGAGCCGTACGACTTCGCATACACCGTCAGGGACGACGAGTCGGGCGCAGACTTCGCCCACAGTGAGGCCTCGGACGGCGCCAGCGTCAGGGGGTCCTACACCGTCCTTTTGCCTGACGGCCGCAAGCAGACAGTGAGCAAGCGACTGCTTTCAGCTAATGGGATATGGTCTTTTATGTTTTCCTTGAGAAAACAATTTTAAAATGCATTTATATTGTGAATATTATGCAAACATCATACAGATATTTAGGTCCGTATGTATGTGTGTGTGTGTTGTACAAATGTACGTATGTATGCGTGCGTGCGTGCGTGCGTGCGTGCGTGCGTGTGCGTGTAGGTGTGGTGTGGTATGCGTGTGGTGTGGTGTGTGGTGTACGTGTAGTGTGCGTGTGCGTATCTATCATACACATGTACACAACATACACATATACATCATGCGAACACGCGACACGCACGATGGATACCCTTCTACCTTATGCACTTCACGATGCCTTCCCGCAGGTGACTTACGTGGTCGACCCCACGAACGGCTACACTGCCCACGTGACATACTCCGGAGACGCCCACCGCCCCGCCACGTTTGGCTCCGCTGTCATTCCCACTGCTAAAACCTACAGACCTCAGACCGGCTTCTAGTGAGACAGCTCCCAGCAAAAACGCTACGCCAGTACCTAGTCATAGCATAATAGAGCTTTGTGATAAGAATTAATTAATTTTCAAGTGATTTTGATACTTCTTTGTATGTATGAATGAATAAAAAACTGCACGGCCGTT